TTAAGTTTCACTAAGTTATTGAAGTTCAGTAATTTATGTTTTTTTTAACACATGACAGTGGTGGTGGGAAGTCGGTTTTTTGTCAAGTAGTTTTAAACTTCTTTTATAAATGTTTTCAATAGTTTTAAGTGTTGTTGGACAAGCAAGTGACCAGGACGTCCAACAATAGTCCATATGAGAGATGATCATTGAGTAAAAATAAGTTTTTGCAACATTCATATTAAAATTATTACGTATATGATTAAAATTTCTATTATTAAATTTAAGTATCTGGGACACTTTATTTATGTGACTCTTGAAGGATAATGTTGGGTCTAGAATGACCCCAAGATATTTAAATTCTGGAGCTAATTCAAGCTCTACTCCATCCAGGAATATGTTTGACTGCTTCAAGTTTAAGGGTCGTTTTGAAAAATACATACAGACAGTTTTTGAGGTGTTCAACATTAGGCATGAGTCCTCCAGCCAGCTATGCATTAATGCTAAAGCAGCTGTAAGATCTTTTGCCCCCTGCTGGACACTATTTGCTTGCGTATATATAACTGCATCATCTGCATACATTTGAGCAAATATATTTGGACAGACTTCAGGTAAGTTATTGATAAAAAGAGAGAACAATAAGGGCCCAAGAACAGATCCTTGAGGAACCCCTGTATCACAGTCTAAATATCCAATACCACACACTGTTTCCTGTGTGATTTACTACAATTTACTACAAGTTCTACAAGTCAAATCCATTAAACTCTGCAAATGAATCTCATTAGAGCGCAGCAGCCTTCACATGTCATGTCTTTATTCCTTTCTCTTCTCTTAAAACAGAACTGGTCATCCCTGCTACAGGAAATGTCTTTTACGCCATGACGTCATCTAGTGTTGATTTCCTGCTAAGAAGGAAAGACGGGAACTCCCCGTTTGGCTTGCATCCGATCAGCACAGAGACGAGCGCCACTTTTCCTCGAATCAAGGCCAAGGGAAGGAGACTGGTCAGGAATCTTTTTTGACATCAGATTTTCAGACATTCAGATTGTCTGCAGTTCTCTGATGGTCTCCCGATGTGAATGCAGAGCGAGCCCTCACGGACAGTAAATGTGGCCTTCTCTGTCCGACACAAAACCTACACATGCCTTTCTCCTGTGCTCCTGCCAAGCTCACCAAAACACCAAGAAGAACTCTGCTTGTGCTTCAGTCAACATCTCCTTGCAGGAAGGTGTGGCAGATATTTCAGAACTCCAGCTGCTGTGTTCAACAGAGCTATTTGCACTTTTCCAAGCACGCTAATTTACATCCCGAGGACGAGCAGTGAAAACCTTTAAGTGTACCTTTGGTACTGCTTCTCAAGTCCCTGTCAGGTAGCACTTGATGCTTTTTATCATTACAACTCACAGAAAGAAATAGTTGCTTTAATTGCTACAAAACACCAAGAAATCCCTTGTTGTCTTGTGCCTCATCTGTGACTGACATTTCCGAATGTAAAAAAGATTCGATTGGTTGGAGTGCGCTTCTGTGATTACCCAAGATGCCGTTGAAGGACTTGAAGTGTGTTTTTTGGGGGGAAATGAGATTTAATGAGATCTGAATCGGAATCAAGACAGTGCAAGTGCATCATTGTAGCAAAACACTGGAGCTTTTCAAATGAGACATATATGATTTGTATATATTTATATATTTTGTACGTCTGTGTGATCTCAGCATTGTGTGACAGGTCCTCGTGTGACAAGTAACTGTTTCAACAAGGAAAAAAATCCTTAAAATAACTGCAAGAAACAGGCTGACACGTCCACAGAGAAGGACAGCTATTTCAGCTTTTACTCATTTCTCCATAAACTTAAAGCAGCAATAATCAGGATTTTAGAATAACACTGAAACTCTGTAAACTGTTGTAATGAACTGCGGTCAGTTTATTATCAGTTCTGAAGCTCTGCTCAGTTTTTAAGGCTCTTTTAGCTCATTGTTTTGGTTTGACACTCAGAAATACCACCTCGTTGCAGCTGTCACCAACAGATATTACAAAAGCAGCTCTGATTGGTCTTATTTTTACCTGACTCGAATACTCGTGCAATTGTGAACCAACAGATGAAGTCAGAGAGCCACATAATTTTCTCAGGAGCTGCTGGAGACCAAAGTAAACCTCAAGGAAGGCTGATAAGGACTAATAAACCAAGTGGACAAAATGTATTTGCAAAGAAATTTTTACAGTGTCATCCTCCCTCAGCTGCACGTGAATGTACGCGGCTGTGTTGCTACGTTACGGTGATCAAACATCACTCAGCCTCTTAAACCTCTTGGATGAAAACTGATTATTGCAGCTTTGAACTTTAAGCACTTTTAAAACATACAGCTTTGCTTCAATTTGTTACTAGAAAGGAACATGAGTAAGAGAAAAACACTGCCATTGCTAAGTTTAAGGTTTTTCAGGTCTGATCTTTTCAACAGAGCATAAGCTAAACTTAATTTATGCAGATTTTCCAGTAGCTCAGCAGGAGTCCATCTTCACTGCAGTTTACACAGACCGCAAAGCCTCAGTTTCAGCGTCGTGGCTTCAGTGAACATCTTAACTTCAGCGTGTGTCTCTTTGAAACAAATCTTGTGACCTCTGGTCGTCCCGGGTCAGTGCCGGTGAGGCTCCTTTTACCGGCCGAGGCACGAGCACTGAGGGGCCAGGGAGAGGATTGTGGGTATTAATAAAAAAAAGACGTGCAAGCATGATCCCATGCTACAGATTGTTTTAGTGCCTTTCTCTGCCGGGTGCTCACTTTCTCATGTTTGCATTAGAATGTATACAGTCCACGTGGAGGAACTGCAGACAACTCCAGTGCTGTGTAGTTCCACATCAAAGCTATTTATGCACTACATACAGTATGTCCTATTTTTGTGGTAATAAATTTACTTTTATATGAATTTTAATTGTTTTTGACTGATGTTCAGTACTGAGATATTTTTCATGCTGCTGAGTATCCCATAAAAAACAATTAAAGTTGTTGCTACTTGTCAAAAACGTGGCATTTCTGTTTTTCTCGTGAGGGGTAAACAAAGGAAAGAGGATGCGGATCAGTGACTAAAAATACACATTTTTCTTCGTATCTTTATTCAAATTCAAGACAATCAGTGACAAGACAATCTTCAAGCACAGTCAGGGTCAGAATTAATGTATATATGTGGAAAAGTATCAAATCTAAAGCACATGCTGGAGATGCATACACACTCATACAAGCCTGGTTAATGATTCAAGGGTCTGTAATTTATCATCAGTGACAGGCTGTTATTGAGCACAATCATTCCCACATTTGATTAAAAAGAATAAACCGGCAGGTTTGGAATTCTCCCTGAGAATAAACGAGCTAATGTTTAAAAGCAGAAAATGTCAGTGAGGGAAACGGCACTCATCCCGCTCGCACCAGTGTCTCTTCAGTTTCTCTGGAAACAGTACCCAGTGGTTATAAAGATGCTTGAACCACTAAAGTGCCACTTTTGAGGTTTTTGTCTTTTACAAAATGAACGTATTACTCATAACTATTCCAGCTACTTCTCCAACTCCAGAAAATCTAAAATTATAAAGAGAACAACTCAATAACCCTTGATAACCACATGAAATCATACTTAACAGAGGAACAAGTAAAATGTTCCCAATGAGTGTCTGTGGCTGATGGAAATTTTATATTTTAGCTAAAGTTGGACGAGTCGATCATTTCATTTGAATTATATGTCTACTTCTCTGGTAGGTGTGAGTGATGACTGGCTTTAATGTGTAATGTCACGACTTCTAGTTACACCTAAATTAGATGCAGATGTTTGGTTTTTTGGTCTCTACGAATCAAATCTGAAATAAACAATAACACCTGCACATACTTGAAAGTCATTACTATTTACTAGGGTTGGGTATCGAAAACCGGTTCTTGTT